TCATAAAATCCCTTGTAACGTTCGACAGGACAAAGAGGGTGAAAGAATGAATAGAATTTTTGTTTCTAGATTTGTTTTTCTTTTCTTCTCTTTTTTTTTTTTTTTTTTGGATCTTTTTTTTTTCGTCTTCTCTCTTTTTCCTTCTTTCCCATCACTCTACGGCGAAGATAGTAATATACATGTTATATGCGATTATAATATATGTACGTACATATGTATGTACGTAGCTTGGTATGTATATATGTATACATATATTATATATATATATATATATATATATATATATATATTTGTTTTCCTTTTCTTTTCTTTTCTTTTCTTTTCTTTTCTTTTCTTTACTTTTCTTTTCTTTTCTTTTTTTTTCTATTCTTCGTGTTCTCTTTTCAATAATATACAATAAACTTAAATATTAGTTTGCATATATATATATATATATATATATATATATATATATATGTATATATGTATGTATATATAGGATTATCATATTTATTTCATCGAACTAGAGTTAATCTTTAACGAGATAATAATTATTTATTATAATAAAGATTTTTACTAACAAACGTTAGCGTTAATATAGCGATACGTATTGGTTGGTAGAAAGACAAGCTGAGATTATATTCCGAGATATTCTAAATGTTTGGAAAACGACACTTTGTGCTTCCGGTTTCGATAAACCATATCGTTCTATTTAATTTTTTCTTCTTTCGTCTTTTTTCTCCCATCTTTTCCCTTTTCCTTTTTCTTCTTCTTCTTCTTCTTCTTCTTTTTTTATCTTCACATTCCTTCGACTTTTCGCTCGAATTGAAGAGAAGAAAAAAAAAGAAAAAAGAAACGAGAAAAATAAAAAAATATACATCGTGACACCTTCCTATTTTTTCTTCTTTTTTTTTTTTTTTTTTTTTTTTACTTTTTTTTATTTCTTTTTTTTCTTTTTTTTTTTTTTTCTTTTTTTCCTCGCTTCCAAGTGTCACGATGATAAAAAGTATAATAGAGATTACCTTTCGTAGACTTTTAAAAAGAACGATAGATAAACGAACGGAAGCAAAGACGTAAAGACAAATATAATAGATATGTGTATGTGTATATATATATAAATATATAATATATATGTATGTATATTTATATATACAAAATTAATCTAATTTTCATTGATCTTTTCCTCCAGTAGATTTTCGATGTGTACGCAGGTTTCGTTGTTAGCCAATTTGAGCCTCTCGGTTGGTTTAGGTCGCATGAATATGAAAGGTAACTCGGCTGACAGTTCGCCACCCAATGCGCCGAGATATAATTTGACCTTGACGGCATAAGAGACAACGATGCCAAAGGAGTCGCGTACATCGGGCGAGGTCAACAATGTGCTCGACGCTAATTCGGCTTCCTCGCGTTTCAATCTACCATCTAATGCGATACCACGTCTATTCCTATTATTTTCCAAGTTAGGCTTTAAATATATTATCTTTTGTAGATTTGAGCCTGGTGTTATGGGACAACCATCTTGGGTCTCGATCGCATCGATGACAGTACGAAATTGGCCATTTTGAAAGATGACAACGTCAATACCTTGTTGAACCAAAGCTTTTATCTTCTTAACGATCTTGTTGCTATTATTTCTAACGCTAACGTTAACGGCTATCGATTCACCATGATGATACAATTGTTTGTCAAGGGTTACCTCAAGCTCGAGTTCACCGGGACTCAATAGAAAATCCTTCCTTACGATAGTACACGGTTGTCGACCCTGTTTAGTTGGCGCATATTGTATTTTTCTTATACCAAGGGATACCGTACTTCTCTTATGCGTAATGTCCGTCTCCGTTTCGCCGGCATAAATTTTAACGAAGTAACTAACACCGCACGGCTCTCCCGTCTCGTCTTGACTCGGTTGAAGGGTCACGCTCGAAGGCGCGCTCTGTGGAAAATTAAAGGTGAACGGTATAGCGTTAGGGCCCAATTTTTGTAACAATCTCTCTTGTAATCTTGTATTATTAACATCCGTCTTGTTGTAACTACGTGGATATAATTGTTCGGATATAAGATAAAGATCCTTTTGAAAGTTCAATCCCATAACCTCGTCCTCCTCTCTGCCATAACGAAAACTGCATATCAATTGGCCCCATATCTTTCGACCTGTTTCAATATAATTCTGATCCAATAATATAACACCATCGATCGGTTCTATGCCCGATAAATAATCGATAAAATCTCGTTTGCCAACGTACAAAGAGATCTTTCCGTTCGGCGAACTCTTCTTGAACACTTTAAAATTGACTACCATATTGAGATTTTGTTTATCTCTCTCTCTCTCTCTCTCTCTCTCTCTCTCTCTCTCTCTCTCTCTCTTTTCTTTTTTTTCTTTTTTCCTTTTTTTTTTTGTTTTCCTTAAATTCAATCCTATTCCTTATTTCCTTTGTTTTTTTTTTTATCGACAAAAAGAAGTAACTTTTCGCGAGATCGAAAAGAATATCGTTTGTTACTTCCAACCTTTGACTGAATAAACGCGCAAACCCAACGTTCCTTTATATATCGACCTTATACGAGTGCTGACTCGTGAAGTTATCAGTGACGCCATGTAAATCCTAAGAGGCTTCCTAATCCATTCAACAACGCAAACGTAAAGCCACGTATATAGGTAGTACTTTACCATTCGGTCACGCGAGGTGTTTTATTTTTTTTTCTTTTTTTTTTTTCATTTTCTTTTATCTCACTCTCTCTCTCTCTCTCTCTTTCTCTCTCTTTCTCTTTCTTTCTCTCTCTCTCTCTCTCTCTCTCTCTCTCTCTCTCTCTCTCACTCTCTCTCTCTCTCTCTCTCTATCTCTTTTTCTCTATTTTTCTCATGAGCAGGTTTACGTTACTCGTTCGAACGAGTAAACGTAAGACGATGTAATCGTTTATCAGAACGGCTTTACTACTCGACTACGTCACGTTTGTCTACTATAAATCTTCGTTTACGTTTCTTCTCATTCTTCGCTCGATTCTTTTCTTCTTTCTTTCTTTCTTACGTAAATGCGCTGGTGTTATTAAATTTTTTTTTACGTAAAAAAGAGAAAAAGAGAAAGAGAGAGAGAGAGAGAGAGAGATATTTATCTTATATACGTATATCGATTAAAAATTGAAAAAAAAATATACTATATTGTTTCAATCGATTATTGAAATGTATGAAGATGAAAATTAATTCTCGATGATCTATTTAATCCTTTTTCTTCTTTTTTCTTTTTTTTTCTTTTTTTTTTTTTTTTTTTTTTTTTAACGAATAAACGTTTCGAATTTTTTATTTGAAATGTTGACCCTTTAAAAATGTCGGTAATAAGATTTATTCTGAAAATAATTATTTATTTCTTTTATGATCTTCCCGGTCGGTAAGGTAGAAAATATGGATGTTATCTTTGATTTATTTACGCTAGAGGTCGCACTACAATGTGTAATCATACATAATTTGTGATCGTATTATTTGGATACGTGTGGAGGTTTTCGTTGTATCCTTCACCTTCTAGAAGTTTTGGAACATAGCAACTATTTTTGAAAGACGCAAGTGACATTATTCCATGTCGCGATGTCAGACGATTCTAATACCAGTGCTGATTTGGTAAGCCAACGTTATTTCTAATTTTTAAGTATATATATACATATACTCAAGCATATATCCATTCTTTTGAATAAAGTTATATATACATATGTATATATATATATATACACATATATATATATATATATATATATGTATATACATATATGTATATGAAATAAGTGATTATTGATAAATAATATTTCAAAGAGAGTTGAACTATCCTTCCTTCAGAGTAAAACATTAGAAACACGTTTTTGGATGCTGTCCTCGTGCTCGACTCGTCCACGTTTGATCAAATTCTATATATTTGTTTCTACAAAATTCTATTTTTAATAATTTCATAGAACACAACATTTCTAAATAAGTATACATAAACGTATGTTTAATTTTTACAATATTGTGCAAGATAAGTGGAATTTTTGTTTTCAAACAAATATAAATAGGAATTTTCTTTTTCTTTGTATTTATATTTTTCTCCATTTTAATTTTATTGTATAATGGTTATAATGTGTTTTAGATACAAATAAATTGTATTGTTAGTAGTAATAAATTATTTTATGTAAATAATACATATACATATATATATATATATATATATATATATATATATATACTTTTATATATATATATACTTTTATTGTAGATCAAACCAATGGCTATAGTTGTCCCACCGGATTCACCTAAGAAATCAGTCAAGTCTACTGCAGTAGTGAAATATTCTGCCGTTCAAACGCCTGCCACTTTTGCTCAATTGCAATGTAATACAAATTTAAATCTTCCACCCAGCAATTGGCTTAGCAGTTCTGCTGAAAGTTATGGTCTACAAAGTGTATGGTCACAGAACACAGGATTCTCAAGTTTTCGGATGGCTCATATGTTTCCTGATTGTGTTGGAGAAGTTGACGTTGTGTCAGACGCAGAAAATATAAAAAAATTATTGAAATTACCATATAACCATGGTGTTATATCGATGATGGTACACCGTATAGAAAATACTTTATTGATAGATGATTTTGATATACATAAATATTTATTACGCCAAGCGGAAAGTGATTGGGAATGGTTGAAGAAATTTTTTTATGAACACATATTTCAAAACTTAGGAGATAAAGAAAAACGATTGTTTCATAAGGCAAACAGTAGAAATAGTTTGCAACAAAGGAATTTAGTATCAAAATTCCTTTATCATTCTATAGTATTAGCTGATAGTAAAGAACAGAATATAAAGCCTCCTTTGCCCGTTAAACCATTGGAACAATGTTTACCTGAACCAACGCAAGAGGAAAAAGTACCAGATCCAAACTATAATCATAATTTTGCACGTAACGTTGTATGGACTTTTGAAAATATACAAATGCTTATTGGTACTGACATGCCAATATTTGGCGGGCAAACTCATCCCTGTATTAGTTTACGATTAAAAGATATGTCAAAACCTATTAACGTATTAACGGGAATAGATTATTGGTTGGACAATTTAATGTGTAATGTTCCTGAAGTAGTCATGTGTTATCATTTACATGGTATAGTTCAAAAATATGAATTGATTAAAACAGAGGATCTTCCTAATTTGGATGATTCAAAATTCAGTCCCAAACTTATTAGAGATGTAGCACAAAATATATTAAGCTTTTTAAAAAACAATGCGACAAAAGCTGGTCACACTTATTGGTTATTTAAGGGTAAGTAGAGCCTTCTTTTTTTTTTCCCCTTAAATAATTTCTTTTTCTTCTTTATATATTTTGATTGATTAATTTCTATATATATATATATATCTTTAAAATGTTCAATAGGTAAAGACGATGATGTTGTAAAATTATATGATTTAACATCATTATGTAATGATGTTACCGATGAAAAAGGACAAAATCCATTTACCGTGCCAGTGGCAATGCTGTTATATAGAGTAGCTCGAAATATGAAATATTCTTCTGATTATCATCGTCATCAGGGTACTATTCGAATGTTATTGAAAAACTGTGTTCAACTTCTTGCAAAGGAGAAATATCCGCAAATCGTTACGTCCGCTCATTTTATGCTTTCTGACTTATATGTACCTTCAAGTACGGATCCCGTTAGTCCAGGACTTTCCGATCAAAGTGACGAGGAAGATACACAAAGTGAATGCAGTACAAATCATGAAAATGAAAAAGAAGAAGATGAAGAAACTCCCAGTGCTTCTATTAAATCTTTAACATTGGCAAATAGTAAATATCTTTACACAGATCATAGTAATATTAAAATTTTTAATTATATATAATAATAATAATAATAATAATAATAATAATAATAATAATAATAATAATAATAATAATAATAATAAATCATTTCAGTCAAAGAGCAAGTAGAACAAGAGGGACCTAAGTACAAACCACCACCAATAACAGGTAGCGTAGAAGAAAGATGTTTAACTGCATTGGAGCATGTAGCTCATGGTCTTGAGTGTTTGAAATATTTCCCAACTGAAGAAAATTCAGACGAAGAACAAAAGAAAACAGATGACCGTGAAAATGAGAGAAAAAAATATGAAGAAGCTAATCCAAACATGGCAAAACCTTTTCAGGCAATACCAATGCCATATGCTTCTTTGAATCAAGAAAAAGATAGTGAATCCGGAGAAACTTCGCAAAATAATAGTCCTAGTCATAAAAGGAAAAATAAACAAAAGAAGAAAAAATCGGAAAAATTTATTACAAAAGAAAATACATCTGTTAACAACAAAGATATGAAATCTTGGTTATGTAAATCAAAAAATGAAACTTTACCAATTTGGCAGGCACCAAAAAAGAGTGACAATGTCAGTTGGAATGCACATTTAAAAACTCTATTGTACGAAAAGGCCTCATTGATATTTGCTGTTTTGGCTGAAAACGAATATGCGAATAAAAATTATGGTGCCTCTTTGAGATACATATTGGCGGTATTGAGATGTCAAAAAATATTGGAGGTCTGTTGTGGCATAAGAAATGAAAAATCTATTAGCTGTCTGTTAGGACGTGCTGGTGATTGTTGTTTTATGACTGTACAAGATTGGTGTAATATAGAGAAACATAGAAAGAATTATGAAATTAAAAATATAACAGAGGAGAAGATAATCGAAGAAATATATTCAATGGAAGATTTGGATACGTGTACGTATAGAAATACAATTTTATTCAGTAATCACAAATTTTTTCTTTCTTTCTTTTTTTTTTTCTTTTTTTTTTTTCTTTATACACATTTTTCACAATATTATGTGTATAATAATTTCAGACGGTATAGAATTATTGCCGCAACGTCTTGAAAGTTTGGAATTCACATTGGTCGCTTCTTACAAGTGTTACGAAAAAGCTTTGTCTTATGAACCATTGGAAATAGAAAAAAATAATTTATTAAGAAGACTAGGAAATATTCATAATGAATTAGGCGTTTTATATATGAATCAAGCAGGAAGTAATTGGATTGTATTTTAATTTAATTATATATATATATTATTATATATATATATATATATATATATATATATATATATAAAACAAAAAACAATTAAATATTTTCATTTAATAATTAAAACTAAATATTCATTTTGTATATTTAGCAAGATACCAACAAGAAAGTACAACAAACGAATCGGCCCAATCGTCGACAGACGTTACTACTTTACTTAATCGTTCCTTACATCATTTAGAAGCGGGTGTTAAAGCATTTGAAACTGTTCACGATGAAGCAAATTTGGCATTACTACATTCAAATACCGGTAGACTAATGAGAATTTGTGCTCATATGCACGTTAAACATAATACACAGGAGCAATATTTTTACAATAAAGCACTTGCGAATTATCAAAAGGCATTGCAAGTTCTAGGTTCTAGAAAATCTAATCCGGCAATATGGGACACGATAACGTGGGATTTGTCTACGACACTTTTCACTATGGCCACATTATTACAAGA